GAGTTAATCCATCTTGCTCTTGTAAAAATCTTTCCAACACAATTCGAGCCATCAATGATGGAGCAAAATCCACCTTACAAAAAAGATAAAGAGCAGTGTCAACTTCTTTACATTATAATCATTGTAATGAATGAGTGGGCAGAGTAAAATGCAAAGGCCAACCACCATATGTAATATTTGCGCACAATTTACTGGGAACCTGAATGGCAATACTGCTAAGACAAATGAATTAAACTCTATGTAGCTTTTTTTCCCTTTAAGCTGTTCTGAATCTAAAGTACAGGACTAAATGTACATACTGTGAAACCAATGTTCAAACAAAACCAAATAACATGAATATTTATGGAGAATGTTTGGTATTTTCATTTACTGACAATAATCAGGCCCAATAAATTGATGTAAAATATGGAATGAGCAAGACTTATTTCCAAATGACACAGAATTTTTTTTTAAAAAAAGGGAATGTAGAAATATAAGACTAAATTTAATACTTTGAATTTCAGTCTAGATGATACAAACCTGTAGGTTTCAATCCTCCAGACAGTCAAATTCCACTGAAATTTATGTGGGTACAACATTTCACCCATAGAAAATATCTGTATTATGCAGGGCTCAGAGAAGGTAAGATTACTTTTAAAGATCATCATCATAAATACATTTAAAAGAATGTGAGATAAGTAAATTTCAGTTGTATTACAAACAATGATTCTTGCTTTACATTTCCTCATGTGAATTTGTATAAAATTTCATTTTGTTTAGCAGCTAGACAAAAAACTGTCCTCATTTGTATGTATATTTTCCCAAATATATATGTAGTTGGATGCCCTTAAATTCCCCAAGTAGAAAATGCTTTTCTACAGAGCAGCTTATTTCCAGTAACCCACATCAGAGCTGACACATGAAAAATGGTGAAATTACTGAAGGTAGTCCAGCCTGAATAAGGACTACCTTATTAGTTCAGGTACTTGCATCTCCCTAATTTTCATATTAATCACACACACATCTTTCTCTGAAATAGGGCCATCATGCTTCATGTCAGAATTTAGCATGTAAGTAAAATTCATAGTGCTTCAAATCCCACTTGAAAATATTTGTCTGGTAAGAACATAGTAACTAATTTTATTATTCCTAACCAACACCAGAGTTTCAGGGTTTTTTAAATAATTACTCTCCACATATACAACATGGAAATGTCTACCATTACTTATAAAATTTTAAAGTAACTTCATAGACTTGAAAAAATTAAAAACAATAAGGACACATTCTTATTTAAGAGTGATGCTATACACTGTAATGCATCTGTTATATATTTCTCATCAATTTTTACCGTTTCCACTGATTAAATATATATTGACTCATAAAGTATTACCATTACACCAATTGTCAGCAGATGCAGGAGTATGCCATTTAAATATTAACTACCATATAAAAATGGCAGTGTGATTGTATGGAAGCAGTAATCTTGTGCTTGTTATTGCCACATTTCCCTAATGCAACAGAAGCAGTCACAAAAAGCACTACCTTTCATACATACCTGCTACTTGTGCAGCTAGCTATAAATAAGTTATTTAAAACAACTTTTCCTGACCCTCTAATTTTTTTTAATCCTCAGACTTAAAATGAAGCATATGAACTGTTAGAATGCCCAAGTACAGTATGGATAAAAGCATTTTTCAGCATCAAATTATGAGCATTAATCTAAAAGCAAACAGGAATTACATGGATGGAAAAGACAAAAACTGCAACCAAAAGCATATGCAAAAAACACTGCAATTTTGGGGGTACCTTTAAGGGCCTCTCCTGTGACAATCCCTGTGCTATGCATGTTATGTACCAAGAATTCATTCTATAACAATGTCTTTGTTTAAAATAAAGTGAATGGTGCATCCTCAAAACCTTCTGCCAGAAATGCATCCTTTGCCACTAATACAAAGCAATAGTTTTCATATGGTAACTCAATTATTACAATGTAAAGACACTTCATAGGCTATTAAAACTATCTAGTAACTGATAGCTAATTGCTCATAGGCTGAGTATAGCAACATACATCAGACAGAAACATAGGGAAAAGCCATACTTCCTTGATAATGTAACATGTAAGACTTGCTGCTATGGCACCTGCTATACTCCAAGCACATATTTCTTAATTCAAACACTCGTTTTCTGTCTTTACATTTAGCATTTAAAAGCAAAGACAGACAGACATGCATGCATTTTATTGTATCCTTCTAAGGGTTATATAAGTGTTTCCCAAACAAATAAAATATGGTGACATTAACTGTATTTGAGATTAAAATGTATGTTTTAAATCTAGGTAACCACCTGTCAGGATTACAAACTTTTTGTGCCCAATGCAACTGAATTCCTTATGGAAACAATCTCCTTCTGTCTGTTAGGGATGATCTAGAGTGGTTTCCAATGTGGTCTACCTGTGTGTGTACCACTCTAGGCCCAGCCAAACCCAAGCTGACTGGACCAGGTGAGGACATGACATCACCACTTGCTAAGTGAGACACTAAACTCCCATCTGCCACCCACAAATCTGTCACCCACCTAAATACAGGAACTTTTCCTTCTGCACTTAAATATAGCTAACTATAAAAAAGTTAAATTTCAACTCTCAGAAATAACAAAAAACATCATATTAGCTCATTCTGTAAGCTTTGATGTGAACAGTAATTAAACTGACATTAAACTGTTTTGCTTTTCTATCATCAACATGCTAAAAGGAAGATTAGAAGGAAATTGTTTTGATCCTTACTATAAATCTTATATTACAGATATATTTAATAAAACAAAATAAGGAAATTAATTTTCTTAATTATTCTGATGCCTATATGGATTATAGTAAATCAGTATTTAAAAAGCACTTGTCTTCCTACGTTTTTCAAAGGAAGAAAGGAAAGGAAAGGAAAGGAAAGGAAAGGAAAGGAAAGGAAAGGAAAGGAAAGGAAAGGAAAGGAAAGGAAAGGAAAGGAAAGGAAAGGAAAGGAACCTTCTAATAAAATAAAAATTCAAGAAGCTCTCTACATATTTGCCTGGAAGGTAAAGTATTAATTGCATTAACTGATTAACTAATAAATGGGCTTTCTTAAATTATGATTGCAGACAACAGAACAATTTTAAACATAGTGTGCTTTGAGACCACATTTTAAATTATATTTTTAGTGAAGGCATTGTAGATATTTTCCTAATGTATATCCCAGAGAAATATTTTAAATAATTATTACCTCATTAGCCAGTTCCAACAATACAGGAGAAGCTGCATTTTTTCTCACTCCATTCAGGTACCTAAAGATGACAAAATCAAATAATACTGCAGATTCAAAGAAAAGGCCAGCAGAAAACTCTCTCTCACACACACACAGAAGAAAATACAAGAAAGAACTGTCTGAGCACATACACTGATTTAAAGTATACATAATTTTAGAAACAGTTCCTAATCACTAAACTCTGTCACTAAACTCTAATATCTCACTACAACATTATTAAAATTCAAGAAGGAAAGTATATTTCAAAACCTTGGGTGTACAATGCATAAGAGAACAAGACAGCTATTTTCAAGAACAGAAGGTTTTAGATAACAATGTTTGATGGTGGTGTAATTGCAATAGTAGGGAGAGAAAGATAATTACCCCTGGAATACTAGATATGTCCCTACTAGTGTTCTGGTTTGTCTGCACTCTGTTAATGAATATTTGTGTAGCACTCAAACATACATGACCAGGGCTGTAGCCATGATTTTTTTGGTTTGTGGGGCTTTTTTTTTTTTTGTGGGGCACCCAATATGCAATTTTTTTCCCTTGTGGGGCACACACACACACTCTTCAGCCAGAATAAACAATGTATTTATTTATTTTTATTTATTTATTCCATTTATACTCCGCCGTCCCTGCGAACAGGGTCAGGGCGGCTTACTTTGTCGGTACCCAGTACCATAAAACCATATACAAAAGTTGCATCCTCCATTCCCAAATGTTTTGTCAGCACACAGACCTCTGAATCATGGATGGAAAGTCGGGGGGCCTTGGTACTAAGTTGGTGGGCTGGGCCCCAAGAGACCCCACTGTAGCTACAGGATCGTACATGACTGAACGTCAAGTCTCAGTTCCCAAGCACTTTAGATCTTCTAAGGTAGAAGGAGCTTCTTCCTTGGAAATCTTGTATACCAAAAACCATACTAAAAATCCATCCTAATGAGAATACTCTGCAAGCCACCACTCTGTACCCAAGGCCAAGGTTTGGATTACTCCAATGAAGTGTTAACATTGCTCCAACCAACAGGGCAGCTTACTCTGCTGTAAGACGTAAAGTACACCTGGAGACCAGCCATTAATGATGGAGGGCAAAAATCCAAGCCGGAACTCTGCCTTAACTCTCAACTAAGATGTGGTGCTTAATTGCTCCACAGGTCTGCTCTAGTATTTAGGTACTCTGCTGAAGTCAAATCCTTGTTGGCTTTGCCAGGGAGATTTTATTGGGAACTCTCCCAGATCCTGCAGAACTTGCCCTCTCATTGCCCTTTGGATAATGTCCCCTGGGATCTATATGTAATACCTGATATGTGCCAGCTGACACTGGATAATTCCAGGTACAGCCAAACCTCATTCAAGCTCCCAGTGGGCTCTCAAGCCAGCCAGAACAGTAGTGATTGGCCTGTTGCTGATCTGTAACAGACCTACTGCTGGGCACTTGGTTAGGGAAGAAAAAAGTTTCTTCAATCAAATTCTGCCAAATAATGGTTGAGTATTTAACTCATTAATTTATTAGAACAGTTAACAAAGACAGAAGGTTATTATAATTATAACGAGTTTATTATAGTTAATATGGTTAATAGCTATTGAAAAACATTACCAGCAACCCCTCTGATCTGGCCTCAAGAGTTTAGATAGGCTATTTTTATTTACTTACTTGAGATTCAAGGTGCTGAAAAAGTAATGCAGACTACCATTATCATACTAGAAACTCTGCATAACTGTAGTGTGCACAGCAGCCAGTAGGAAGAAAAGCAATTTTCCCTAGTGTGGCAGGGGTGGCGGGAATGGAAAGATGCTTCTCCCGTTCTGGATTGCCATCTTTACTTTCTAGTGAATTGAGCTATTTAACTCTGTTATACCAGAAAATGAAAGAGATGTGGCAAACAACACTACATGCTGGATAACCCCTCTGTGAACACACAAATGTAGTAATAATGCTCTGTATCTGTGGACTAAAAGAACACATACATGCGAGTACCTTGGATAAAAAGAATAACAGAAACCTAAACAATACAGAGGTGAGTTACCGCAGGATGATCTCAGCTGAAGCAATATTATGGACACTGCAAGTCAACAACACTCCTAAAGTTATGACTAACTTCTTGTTTGGCCAAACCATGCAAATGGTGACAACACAGTCTCTGAATATTTGTAAGAACATGGTGAGGTACAGTGGAAGCTCTGGACTAGGGCTCCTTGATGCTCTAGTAAAGGAGCAAATGGTGAAGACTCTCTAAACTGGCTAGCAGTAGCTAAGGAAGCTCCGTCTGAGCTTGGTTCTCTTGTGCCCACAGATATTTAAGGTGTGGCCATGAGCACGAGCCCTTGGGCAAGAACCAAAGGGCTCCTGATCTTCAGGTTTTATCCAAGAACTGGCAGGATGATCTGCCTGCATACAAAGAAAACAGTTTTGCATTCAGAAGCAGGTTTTCCCCTTCCTTCTCACCTTCCTATTTTATGTTTCTATTGTATTTTTGGACGTAAAGCTGTTTGTATGGCTTGCATTGTAATACTCTCCAAAATGGGAGGGAAAGTGGGACATACATAAATGAATAAATACTGCAATAAATAATTTTTTCCAAACAAACTTATCTATCTCTAAGTACAAACTTATACTTGTACACCACAAGGCCTTCTCATCTCAAGTCAGATACTACTTAAAAACGGATATTTATATCTTGAGCATAATTTTACCATATCATAAACAAAAGGCCATTATTGTGATTTACAATACCATCATACATGATGTAGCGGTTAGAGTATCAGACTAGGATTCAGGAGTACCAGGCTTGAATCTGCACTCAGCCATGGAAACTTCCTGGGTGACCTTGGGCCAGTCATATACTTTCAGCCTAACCTGCCTCACAGGATTGTTGTGAGAATAAAAACGAGGAGAGGAGAATTATGTAAGCCACCTTGGGTACCACTGGGGAGAACACTGAGGTATAAATGAAGTAAATATATAAATGAAGTACATAAATAAATATCCAAACACTCCATTTCAAATTCAATAAGTCAATTTAAAAATTAATACTATAAATGTCCAAAAATTGATTATCTTTCATGGGCACATACGACTAAATTCTGACATCACATTTCACCAACTGTCAACATTTACCAGTCTCTCTCTCAATTTCTGGATGTTCATAATATTTTTCTTGGATTGACAATGCTCAAGTATCAACAATCAGCCAGCTTTGGCCACACATATTCCATCTACCTATATCTATCAATATGTCCTGCAACAGAATAAATATTGCAAATGTCACATCTAGAGAACTATGTTCTTCTGTCAGAGTTCAGGATACAGTCAGTGGCTGTGACTTATTTTTAAGCTCTCATAAAAGGAGACCAGGTCAAATCCCTTAAAAAAATTGTTTATTTACATTGTTTATATTCTGCTTTTCTAACAGGGACTCAAGGCAGATACTACATAGTGAGCCAGTACAATCAACAAAATGAAACATTCAGTGCATTAGGCTTTTAGAAGTTTTAAACCACCAGCATAGCTTAAGCATTCATATAACACATTAAGTGGTACAGAAATTACATAAATAGGATCCTATTTACAATAACCTAAACACAACAGTCAACAAGAGAGTACAAAAGGCAGTAATGGGATACAATCTCAAAAACGACAGAACGATCTCATTCCGAATCCAAGGCAAACCATTCATCATCACAGTAATCCAAGTCTATGCCCCAACCACCGACAGGCTGAAGGTTCTATGAAGACCTACAACCCCTCCTAGAACTAACACCAAAAAAGATGTCCTCATCATCATAGGGGACTGGAATGCTAAAGTAGGAAGTCAAAAGGCAACCAGGATAACTGACAAGCTTGGCCTTGGAGAACAAAATGAAGCCAGGCAAAGGCTAACATAGTTTTGTCAAGAGAACATGCTGGTCATAGCAAACACCCTCTTCCAACAACCTAAAAGGCGACTCTAAACATGAACATCACCAAATGGGCAGCACCGAAGTCAGATTGTTTATATAATTTGCAGTCAAAGATGGAGGAGCTCTATACAGTCAGTAAAAGCAAGACATGGAGTTTGGCGAGGAGAGAGAATGCCATAGAGTCCACCCTCCAAAGCAGTTATTTTATGTCCAAGTTCTGTTAAAGTTGCTGGGACCTAATTGCAAACAGTGTAGTTAACACAGCAGTAGATTTCAAATTTCAGTAGAAGCAATTTGTCCAACAGACTACCGAATTTAGACTGCGTAATGTGCTCACAAACCTCTGTCAGAGGTTCGTGACATTGTACAGGAGGCAGCAATCAGCACCATCCCAAAGAAAAAGAAATGCAAGAAAGCAAAGTGGCTGTCTGATGAGGCTTTACAAATAGCAGAGGAAAGAAGGAAAGCAAAAGGCAAAGGTGAAAAGGAAAATTTACCCAACTGAATGCAGATTTCCAGAGAACAGCAAGGGGAGATAAGGAGGCCTTCCTGAATGAACAATGCAAAGTAATAGAGAAAAACA